CTTTTGTATACCTGTCACTGTGAAGAATTTTCCATGTGTGGAAGTATGTTCTGCAGGTGAATATACTAGAAGTATGTTATGGCATCATCATTTCTAACTACCATTATGGTCTGGTATGACAAACAGTTATTATTTATGTTCTAAAAAGAATGATTTTTCGTCTTATTATATTCTCATTTTATAAAATACACGAGCAGGATTCTATAGAAATAGGTTAATATCAACGTTTGGTGTTTGAAACGTTGTATTGATTTTTGTAGAACTCATGAAAGATTTATGTACTGAAAAGAATAAGCAACTCCTCTGTATGAGAAGTATTAAATATTTCATCTTTTTTTTTCTTTTGATCTTGCTGTTCAGATTCAGTTATATGTAATGATACAGGTTAGGAGAGGGCGTATTGATTTCAGATAAAGTCCTTTCGATAATAATGAAAAATTTAAATGAATTTCTTACAAAAGTTAAAAAAAGTATGGGGCATAAGTTTAGAAAAAATCAATCTTCCACGATCGCCCAAGATCTTCTGCAAAATCCTGTTTGAAAATGCATGTTTGTTCTATGTACATCATGTAAGGCAAAAATAAAAATTACTAGATAATGATACATAAAAATAGCGAGAAAAGAAAACAGAGGATACTTCGAAAGAGTAACATAGTGTTTAAACTGTGACATTTGATAAAACTATATGATCAAATATGAGTATCAAAGAGTCAGGACGTAAAAATAAGTTTATGAATATATAAGAATGAAATGAGAATAATATAAATATAGGTCTATTGATGTTAGTTTAAGTTTTTTGAAGAACATTTGTACAAAATGGGTGTGTGGTGTGAGTGTGCCTGTAGATGTTATTCTTGTGTTTACCCAAACCCGACGAATCATGCGCGCCAATCCATACCCGCAATCACACCCACACACGTAGGAATAACATGGATTACATACACAATTTCTAGTGAGCTCCATTGAGTAGTCAAAAAGTGCATATTGAAATGATTGGAAGACATATTGATCAATCGAAGAAAACGATCAGTTTCATGCTTACTTTGTCCTCTTATCTGTTTTTTTTATCACAAACACTCCTTTATTAGTTCTTGTGACAACATTGACTTTTCTTTCCTAGTCAAATAAAAAACGGAGCACACTATTAAAAGAAAGCATGAGTGAAAGAAAATTAAAATTCTGAAGAAGCACAATTACAGTAAAGAACATATGCAAGCATATATTGTATCAAGCGAGGTGAAGATAAAGTAACTTTTTTCCAGCAAATTATGCAGTACTTATTTTTCTCTCGCATGTGTACTGGCGAGCAATGGTGTCTAAGATATCACTCAGCAGCGCAAGAATTAGTTGCAAGAAAAAACTTTTGAACACGACTGTTTAGTTCATCTGTGACAAATATATTACCGTAGCTATCGAAACTGAGTGAAAACGGAGAATTTAGTTGGTTCGACGCTGCTACACTTGTATTCAAACATCCAACTACACATTGGAATCCATTTGGTCCTGATCTAACGATTCGATTGTTGCCACTGTCTACAATAAATAGATTACCATCAGCATCGAGTACAACACTTGTTGGACAATCGAGTGGAAAGCTCTCTACTGCATCGATTCCTGCCACTATAATTCCATTCGGCTGTCCAGGCGCAAAACGTATAACACTGTTACTCCTACAGTCTGTCACATATAGGTTGAACGCAACATCAACAAAGATACTGTAATAGTACCACAGCGCGTTACGAGTTGATCCAGGAGAACCATCGTCTACCAAGTTTGTTATTATGCTTGTATCATTGTTAAGTGATGTCATGACGACTTGAAGAGAACTTGAAAGTGAACAATAGAGATTATTTTTGTCATCGATAAAAAGCCCGAAGCAAGGAACACCGAAATCTGCCACTGATGCACTCTCTGTCATGTTCCATGACCACTTGTTTACTTGATTGCTTGAGGAATAAGCAACGTAAATATCTCCATGAATTGTGACGAAGAGACCAAGTGGTTGAATTAAACTATCAGCTGAGAGCGTTCTTGTTGGAGTGACACTACCTTCGAGCCATACTTGAACCCGATTGTTGACTTGATCACTGACGTAGACAGTATTGTTCTTATCAACAAAGACAGCAAAAGGATAGGCGCCCACCATACTTTCATCTGCGAAAGTGATACCATTTGGATTCCACGTTGCACAAGGAGAAAATTTCGGTAGATTGTATGAAACATCTATGGAATAAGAAACATTCAAGATAGAGTGCGACACACTTCATAGATGAATTTATTTTATAGAATTAATGACTGATTAGCAGATAATAAGGGTGTAAACAGATCAACACATATGCATCAGTTGTGGGACCATTGTGCCTTTAGCATTCGAAGTCTCAATTTAAAACAAAGCCAGATAATTTCAACCGATGTCGATGAATTTCTTTTGAGTACTTCTAATTACTAAGCAAACTTTCTCAAATTTTAAGCGTCCAACTTTGATCAGATTTCGACACATTAAATTCGATGGTAAGCAGAATGATAAAATAGTAGCCTGTGGTCAATTGACAGAATACTGTTATGTTCGTTTCTGGAATTTTTGAAACTCGACTATTCATGAAGATGAAAGTTTATCACAAGAAAACTGACCACATCTCTCGCCTTTTACTCGGAGATTTGCCCTTAGAGACTGTGATACAGATCTCAATATGCTGCTTTCGTCACTCAGTTATGAATCGTAAAAATTGGAGTGTTCTCATTTGTGATTTGACTCTGGCTCTTTATGTTTCTCATCCTAGTCGTGCAGAGATCGTGCGAAAAGTTTTTAGTATAGCGTCAAGTACATCGATATTCCATGAATATTACCTGTTTGATGAGTCGGATGGTGAGTCATATTTGCTTACTCATACGATGTAGTTCTTTGATTTATTGTAACTTGGTGTTCTACTCAAACATTGAAGTACTCGAAAATAGAGATAGTGCTGTATAATATCACGAATGATCTTGTTAGAAATATGTTATGAACATTGTTTCGTAGATGAGTTTAAATCGAAAAATACTTAAAAAATCTATCTGACATTTTTTCGACAGAGAGATAACCTTTATCTGAATGATTCATAAATTTAAAACGAATGATTTCTTGTGGATCAAAACGAGCACATAAGCAATAATGAGTTGATATCAAACGTTCACTTAGTACTCATACGCTTTGTTTATAGGTTTTCATCTTTGACAATTGAGTTGTTCACTACACCTCTGGATTTAGTCGTACTTACGCTTTTCTCGAATGGCGTATTGTGTTTTGAAATAGCCCAACCCAACAGCAATCCATATAATGAATAGTGAGAAGTATCCGAATATGAAATCAATCACAAAATGCATTCTTTTCTAAAAGAAAACAAAGGAAATAGTGTCAGACATTTACATTCTGCATTTGTTTTGATTGTTGCATGTGTTTATATGTTACAGCATGCGAGAAGAAAAGGCAGAATGAAAAGAAGTCAGGCATCTTGTAGGTGGTGTACATGCTAACGTTGAATGTTGGTAGAAGAAAAAACCCAAAATAATATAAGTAGAATTGCATGAAAAGGGTGTGGATGTGGGTGGGTGTGAGTGTGGGGGTATGGGTGTGGGTGGATGCGGGTGTGAGTGGATGTGTGGGTGTGGGTGAATGTGGGTGTGGGTGTGGTTGAGTGTGGGTCTATCCTGTGATTTTGAGTGAAGAGAATACCCACACCGAGACCCACACCCACACCCTCCGAAATTTGATTAGTTTTTCAAGAATAACTTATGTAATTTCTATCGAATCATTAAAGACATCAGAACTTTCCAAGATGGAAGTGATTCATTTTCTTTGTGCGTCATTTGAAAATTACACGTTTCGTCATATATGTTGACTGGTATAACTTCCAGACGACATTTAATTGTAACTTGAGAAAAATCAAACGTTTTTTATGTCATAAACCAAGAGGGTGTGGGTGTGGGTGTGGGTGTGGGTGTGAGTGTGAGTGTTCTCTTCACTCAAAATCACACGATAAGCCCACACTCAACCACACCCACACACCCACTCACACCGACACCCACACACTCCACACCCACACACCCCACACCCACACCCATAAAGGACGATTTTTTATAAAGATTTGTAAGAGATGCCAGTTATACTAGCTATTATTCATCGATCAATTATTTAGACATTTGTCACATTCTGAGTGAACAGGGTATAAGTGTGTGCATAAGATACATTCATGCCCTTAAAAATCTATTTTTTCCTTCATCCCAGGTCAAAAAATCAGACGTCAGATCTTGCAGACCAGACAAAATCATACAAAAAAACTCAGTCTCAGAAATCTTACATCAGATCGTACTATAAGATGATTTAAATATCTTACCGCCACATAAAATTTCCTATAATCTTATAGTAATATCTTACAGGATATCAAGATCATTCAAGAATCTTTAAGTACGATCTGATGTAAGATATCTGAGACTGTGTTTTTTTTTGTACGGTTTTCATTTGATCTTACAATACTTAATGCCTGATTTTTTGACCTGCGTAGGAATAGATTTCACCAAATAACTTGCCTCTGACTAAGAATAGCTACTTGATGGAAAAGAAACAAGTATAATAAGAAAACTAAAATGATACCCTAATTCAATCATATTTCTAATTCCCTTTTAGGATAAAATCATAAAAATAACTAATATTTCTCGCCTAATTTCTAGAACAAGTTCAATATCAACTTTTAAAACATTTGAAAGAGATCTTCTGATAGTTTGTTAGAATCTCTATTTTCCTATATAAAGATCTAACTATGATGAAGATAAAATGGTAATAGGGCTTCTAAATTCTTTTACCACATTTCCCTTTTGACTTCCAATCGCTGCTCTTACTGGTTGATATATCCATCCAATTTAAATCATGCTATATTGTTCTTTTGTTATCTTATAATTTGTTATAAAATCGAAGTTCACTTGTGTCTTTGTAAACAAAATTCCATTTACAAAGCCAAACCCTGCTATAGCATAGCAACTATATAAGATGATGAACGTTGATATTGTACTAGAATAGTATCTGAAATATTAGAATGTGTTGGTATAACTTTTCCTGCACTACTAGCATACTGTGTCATTCGATCACGTGTCCATCCTAATTGAACTTGTTGAAATTGTTCAAGCGCTAGTGAATTGTTGCCAGTAGTTTTCTTGAAGGCAGAAGCAACCTCAATGCCACTGGAATACGGAATAATTGACAGTATTAGCAGTGAGACGACGGACATCATATTTACTCAGCAAATACGTAAGTTGTCGAATACGTTGACGTTATTTTTTCTCACAAACATCAAGTTTTCGGCGATTACTTCATTTTTTTTGTTCGAATAGAACTGCACATTATGACTCATGTAGTACATATTATTTTAAGTGCTTAGATCAAACAAATCGGACAGTAGAATTGTGCAGAAGTCTGACGAAATTGTAAGAAAATCAGATGCAATCGTGCACACATTGATATGTTGCCATCAAACTACTACTTCTGGCAACAACGCATCTTACAATTTTTATAGGAACGTATTTTAAGGTCTGGTATGATCGAGCAAGATCATATCGTATGATTTTCTCAGCTATTTGCAATATTTCGTAGGATTTCTAGCAAAATCAACCAGATGATTTATTCAATTGTTTCTCCTATAATGACGAATAATCAGATTTAAATATTCCTCAATTCCGATAAGAACTTCCAAGATAACCGAAAATTGTCCAATGGATATACGAGAACTATTCTAATGACAATGTTGGAAGTTGTCACAATCATTTTCGCAGAATTCCTGCAGGAACTCGTTGCACATCGAATCTGGTATGCTGCAGACTTTCTTCAAGTCTTTTCACTGTTCAAGCATTTCAACAAAACACATTTCAATGGCGCACAAAAAAATATCGAGTAAAGTTTATTCAAATTAGTCAAAAAAAAGTATTTAGTCAAATGATTGAATTAACACTCAATAGAGTATAAGATTTTTACTCTAAAAATAACCTATACTACAGCGCGAATCGAATAGATGATGCCATGAAGGAAACAGATGAGGGAATACTTATATATTGTGATTTAACTGAGAGCATCTTGGATGTAAACGTAGTTTTGCATGAAGAGAAACTCATACGCAGACATATGCCAACACTCACATCCTCAATATTGTCAAACTCCACTTCCATAACCTATTTTAATCGAAGACGCTAGTGTATTATCAAAAATACTTGTGTAGTGCTTGTAGCAACAGATTAATCAGTTGACAGTCGCTTTTATTTTGGTTGCACTTTTGAGCCGTTAGCTATTTTTCAATCTTGATTTCACAATTCATCTCAGATTATTTTTTAAACAGTTTCTTTTTATTCAAAAAAAATTTCGGAATGCAGCTATATCTTGATTGAATAATAGTAAGTGTTAATGAATGTTATTCGTAAGTAAAAATGCGTATTGAAGATTTCGAAAAAAAAATTTTGATATCGTATGGGAAAACTTGTAACTAGATTGTATAAAACTTATTTTAGTTGAAAAGAGAATTCTTTCCAAGAAGTGTTGCTAGAAATGTTGGCAGTTGTCCAACAAAATCTGCATCGTAGTTTAGATTTACTGGATTGACGACGTCGTCCACCATGCCATCACCATCGATACTCGAACAATTTGTTATAGCATAGTTCAAACGCTCATACATTATGTCAGTCGTTGAATATTCAGGTAAATCAAGAGTGAAGAAATATGTGTGTGATCCTAAAAAACAGATGTCAAGTTCGGTGTGTACATCCATAATAATTGAAAATTTGCTCCTGATACCCAGCAGAACAGTGTCAAAGATTATCGAATTCCATAATATTTCTGAAAGCTTTTACTACAGCCCCCATTCTTCGGGCCCTCAATCACACTTCTAAGTTCTAAACTTATTACACTATGGTCTAATAAATAGAAAATTTGTTTTTTAGAAATCAAAATCTAAGAAATCGATTAAAATGAGAATTGTGACTTTGCATAAAAGGAAACTTTTGAAAATATATTGAACTTTCGAAGCACAAAGCCACTTCAATTTTGATTAAAAGCTATTTCATTAGGATTTTTATTGTCGTGAAAACCTAATGTGATATTGCAAAAGCCCATAAAGAAATCAATTTTTTTTTACATTGAACAAAGATTAAATCGAACGTTCTACGATAGTCAGTATTTGCAAATGTTCTCAAAGTTTCGATTATCATCAATGTTTCAAATCCTAAAGCTCTGAGATCCATGTAAACAAGTCAACATCACATCCAAAAACAAAAAACAATTAAAATATGAAAACTGTAATTCATGGATGCATTGAATGATGGTTGACTTGATTTTTCATTTATGTGAATTATCTAATCAGTTGTTTATTAAAAAACATATACGTAATAATTGCAAGTAAGATTATGATAGAAAAGCGTGACTCACTTGGAAGTATTTGATCCGGTTCATGATTATCATCGCGAGAAATTGTTTGAATTATAAATTTCGATGTAAAATCTTTATCTAACCTTGGCAAAGTATTTCGTCCCCAAACGAATATCAGAAACAATTTCTTTTGTGCTTCATCGAACATTTCAGTGAGAACTATCCAAAATCGTTGAATATGTGATGAATTTTCGTTATAAGCACCTAGGTAAATTGCATTTCGTTTCAATAGTAACACATCAATTTCACTTTTTCCACATACGGCTTCTTCAAGTTCAGTAGCTGTAAACAATGTCAAAAAATCATATGGAATAACGCTACAGAAGCCTTGCCGGATGTACTCAATTTGTCGATGAAATTC